ATTTTCATGATGGAATTATAATCCATTTCACTTGGCCAAATATACAGAGGATGTTTGAATAGGGTCATTAGTTATCTAAATTAGATATCCTACAACTTGAAAAATCTTAATTCATGGATGCACTTTCTCATAGGTTTCAAAAATCCATTAGTGAGGTTATATTCTGGAGCACACTTTATTATCATCAATGTAAAATACTCTTTGTTCAACAAAATAAATTCTTTACATGCTCTTGGGTAGAAATTGATTTTATTGTTGAATATAATTTCTTGATATGATGTAGTATTTTAGATTTGTATATTTTAAAAAAGTCCAGTGAAAAATATTTCTCATTATTTCAAGTGTATATCTAATGATGATATCATCAATTGAATTAACTTTTTCAGAAGCACTTTCGCCTAAAGCTGAAGGCTGTGCAGTACTACTAAACTGTGTAAGATCATTTCTAAAGTTCACCGAGAAAGACTTTGTGGACCTTGACAAAAATGATTATGTAGACAATTGGAATGATTTGATAGATATGTTGAAATCCTTGACATTTCAAAAATCTGGATTTTGGACATGTACAAAAGATAAACCCTCCCATATACATCATATAGTGAATCCTTCCATAAGAAGAAAAATTGACTTTTCAAATGATGAGAAAAAATGTAAAAAGGATCAAGAAAGTATAGAGAATACAGGTATTAAGAAAACAAAAAACAAGAAAAACAAAAAGAAGAAATGTGTTGAGAATAAGCTAGATCCTAGAAGAATGTGCCAAATATCGGAGGTAGAAAAATTGCAAAGTCTTGCAAAAATACAAGAATTGTGTGCAATGTTGAGAGAAACTAAATCATTTGAGGGGGTGATCGAAACACAGGTATTTGAAAGAACAAATAAAGTCCCTAATGAATCTCCTGAAACTCTCAAGACTAATAGTGGTCATTATCAAGAATGTCATACTGGAAAATACTGTGATATAGATAAAAATAATAATAGTGATGAAAATATCAATGATAACAATAATACATTTTTCTGTGGGGTTGATGAAAATCTTGAAAGAAATATCAATATTGAAAAAATTGAGACAAATTCAAGCCCTGTTGGAGAGAAATATATTTCTGATACATATTATTCCAAATATGAAGAAGAGACTGAACTTATTGTTAATAAACACTGTGATAAAATATCCAATGTGATAGAGTTACTTGAAAGTGATATTGAATACAAGGATCAACCACCTGATTTCCCAGAAATTGTGTTTGAAAAAAACCCTGTTACCCATGAGATGCTCTGCACTATTTTGGGAATGAAGAAATTGCTGAAACTGTTGAAGAAGAGGAGGGTAAGGTTGGCAAAACCTGATGCTTTCATCATTGAACATATTGATTACTTGGTAAAAATGATCCAAGAAAAAAACTTGTTGAAGTCTATTCGGTATTATGGACACAATTATGAGTTCATGAATTCTGCATTGGCTTTTGCTACTTTGAATAATAATAAGGGTCTTTATTTGATTATGAAGGACTGATTTTTTTGTACTATAATCTTCAAGGTCCAGCAATAGGATCAAATGGTTATCAATAGACCACTTATTTGGAAAAATATTCGTTTGATAATAATATTTCTTCATTTTTGATACACTTCGTATATATGGAATGTCAAAAAACATATTAATACATTAATAACATGTTTGATAGTATGTAAAGAAGGAAAATGAAGAAATGAAAGAAAATTTAGACTAGCACATTTAGATACAAATATTTGGAATAATTTCCACATGAGCTCATTTATTCAGTGTTCAAGTAATCCAATTTGTTCTTCTATGCTTTGCTGCAATGCTGCAAACTGTTACTGAAGTCGATCAAGAAGTTCTGGCTTCTGGAATAGTTTTTCACAATCAACAAATTTATCCCTGCACGATTTCTCTTTTTGAGTAATTGGGGAGTGGTAGAGTATACCTTATTAACTTTAGAAATCTTCACAGAAAGAAATCCAGGACCAGTATCTTGTAATTTGCACTGAACAATGGCTCAAGATGAACGATTTTATAGCAATGAACTGTTGAATGGCCGGCCAATTCACTATTGTTATACAAATTTCCAAGAATGTATTACAAATTATTCACTATTTGACGTTTGCCAGATATACAAGTTTTTTAAAGCGTTCAATCATATTGCTGGACCCTGTATAATGATGAATTTAACTGATATTGTTTTAAATATCTGAACGAAATCAGTAAGTAGGTACCTATACAATGAAACTTTGGATTTTTTAATCCTTCTTGTTGAAAGTTCAACGTTGTTCATGCATTATACTTTTATCACATTGAAATTAAAATTTGTGATCAAATTTCAGTTACTGTTGGGATTTTAGTTACGTAAGTCTAACTTGTGTGATTTTCTGATTTTGTTTTAACTACTGTTAAAATCTAATATAATAATTTATGAGCCTATGTGAATGGGTAGATTCATTCATATGAGATTTTTACTATGTGAATATAAATTTACCACTGCAAGAATTTCATCCTGATTCTGATCAAAGATTAGATAATTTATAACTGTTATAAATACAATACCTATCAAAATAAATACTTATCGAAAAATATTCATCAACATCAAATAATAATCGGATCACAATGTTATTTAATCCAGTTGAAACTTTCTAACTGTGGCCTTATGACTGACCCAAAAGACTGTTATTTTGAGTTGCTATATGTAGAACTGAGGGAACTCAAAAAGATCAAAATCAAAATGCAATTTTTTTTTTATGTTTCAACATTGTATAGTTCGATATATTACTGTATATCTTATTATGTCCCAATGACAGTTAATGTTAGCTAACAGTCCATTGAATTAGGAAAAAGTTTCTGTATTTGATGCTGAATATTAATCTATGGCTACAATATGAGGACTAAACAAAATTAATCATAATGAATTGAAACTCGTTATCTATACAACCCGAGTTGAAATCAATAAAGTACCATTATTATTATTATTTATATTCAAAATTTCATAACGAAACTCCAATGTACACCTGCAGAAGGACGTAAGACATCATTTATAATATTCGACCATGTCATTGCAGTCCTCGAGTATTTATCACTAGAGCTGTGTACCAAATTTCAATTCATTAGGTACATGTTTTGAAAGTGGTGTTACAAAATTAAAAGAAACCTAACAGTTTTTCATAGTCTGCAAACCATAATTCTGTCTTCAAATGTATTATGGGTTAATAAATCAGCACCAAAATACACTTTTTAACCGACTTTTTATCCTTCATTAGTTCAATATATTGTTGAGATTGTCAACAATATCAGTCTTCCAAAATTCAATTAGTCATTGGTATTCACAAGGCTCATGGTCAGGAATAACATTTTCTTGAAAATTATGGATATTTGGAATTCAGATACTGTTAATAAGTGTTTCTTGAAAGCAGCTTTAACCATTTGAATTATTTTTTAAGAATACGAATTTAGTTTTTGTTTTTTTATTGTTTTTTTTTGACAGCATTTAATTATTTTCATAAATATATCACTTGTTTTTAATAAAACATTGCTCAAAGCTTTCATCTTTTTTTTCAAAATTTAAAAAAATATATTACGATGCCCTATGCTATTGTCTCCGTTCAGAACAATGCATTGCTTCCTATTCAGTTGATATAGACAGAACATGGTATTCACTACTGAAAACTGAATATGAAAATTGTAGAGTAAAGATCATTGAATGAAATGATGAAAACATCCTGTCACTCATGTGTATACTAACATCACTCATTCATATGCCATCATCAGTATGTCACTGAGAAGTGTCAAACTTTGAGTGCACAACTTTCAAAGAACAATATTTTTGCATTTTCATATTGAGAATGGGAGCAAATTCGTTCCGTAAACGTCCAAAGATGAGTAAAAATTCGATATTTTTTCAATATATATCTATATTTTCTTCTTCAAACTGGGGGAAAACAAACTGTTGTCTATGGATAAAGTGCATAGACTACATTGCATTCAGCTTGCTGTAGCTGTAGTCAAACTTGTCAATGACATAAAGTGTTGGCACTGTTGGTAGTGATGATGGTTGAGTTGGTTAATTTTTTACATCATTACATTTTTATTAGTTTAGTGAACAGTGAACAGGTGAAGAATTGGAGATAGTTCAAACAATTCAAACTAATTATGACGAGCAAATCAATTGACATATAAAAGAACAGCTACAACATGTTCACAATACCCAGATTGTCTTGCTTTGCTGGAACAAATACAAATCCATTGTTCTACAGGAGTTCCTCTGGACCCCAACTTCAATTTAACTTCATGTGGGGAAGATTTCATCGCCGAAATTGTAGACAAAGTGCAAAAATGTGCCTTTTGTTGAAATCTTCTGTCTCACACAAAATCACATGATTAGCACGGAGAACTGCTTCTCCTTCTACTACTGGTCGGCTTTTTCCATCTAAATAGAGCAAAATATCTGCCAAAAGAACATCTACAACAGGCGATCGAATATTGACAATTAATGTCAAGAAATTCAAAAACTTATTACTCTCATCAGTACACAGTAGACAAGCTAATGGCACTAATGGGATTGAATGAGGATAGAGTTTGTTTTCCCCCAGTTTTGACGTGGCTTTGACATGGAACGATGAAAACTGAGCGCCACTTGGTAACATTGATTCCCGCGAATAGCAAAGCCTATAATCTATCATTCTTGAATATCAAATTTCATTCTTGACAAATCAGAGAAGTGAACTTGCTCGCCCAAGTAGAGTGTGAAGGAGTGTATATTTTATATACAGGTGAACAAGTAGCACTTTCCCCACCTGACATGAGAACACAGTTTTGTAAGGAAAACCGGAAAAATGATGATAACATCTTGTCTTCATGTGATTGAATCATTGAATTCTTGGGACAAAAATGGCAAGTGATATAGGGAATCGTATCATACATCAATTTGGAAATGTCGCAAATGGAATTTCTTCAAATTATCACATTCATTAAACAATGAGCTTCTAGTAACATGATCACATTGTGATTATTATGCTATAATATTACAAACGACTCTCTATATTATAATAATTCTTATTGTCAGGTTCAAAGGCGACATTACTCTGCCCAGACACTTGTTTCATCCTTCTCACGCTATTCTTCAATCTGTTTCTGCCAGCAAAGTGTTCTGTTATCTCAAAAAGTGTCTTTCCTTCAGTTTCTGGTAAAATGAAATACATAATCACTGTTCCTACTAAACCTACAGTACCATAAATCCAGAAAACTCCTGGAAGACTAAACTGGTCTATTAAACTCAAGAATATTTTATTAGCAATGAAACCGAATATATAGCCTATACCAGCTGACAGCCCCGAAGCAGTTGCCCTTATTTCTGTGTAAAACACTTCTCCAATAAGGATCCAAGGCAAGACTTTGAGGCCAAAATAGCTCAGGAAAGACGAAATCACCAAGAAAGTTATTGGTACCCAATGATAAACTTCACCGTCATTGTCGTTCAAATCTAGGTTCACTATTTCATGCATGTAAGCGTAGGTACCAACAATTAAGAAACATACTCCAGAACCAGACAAAGATATCAAGTTTATAACTCTTTTTCCCAAGAGATTAATCAGACTGACGCACATGATACAGCCAATAAGTTGAACAGCACCCATTAGAACTGTTGAGTAGTACTCACTGATGGGGGCATGTAAAACCTTGAAAAGTCTGATAGCATACACTTGCATGGGTGTGTTACCGTTAAAATGGCTGAGGAAAAAAGCAGTGGTAACCAAGAAGTAAGGCCATAGAAAGGACCGATTCCCAAACTGTTTGAGTGATTCTAATTTTTTTTTGAGGGAGCTCTGTACATTGTCATCGTTCTCGGTCATCTTAATTTGCTTGTATAATTCCTGGTATTCGTCTTCAATGCTGTCTGTTGTCGTCCAACCTCGCAGCCATGCTATGCTCTTCTTGGCCTCCTCTAGTCGGTTTTTGGTGATCAGCCATACTGGGGTTTCTGGTACAAATGTTAGCAGAATGAAGGATGAAATCGGTACGAAGCAGTTTATCATGCCTACTGTCCTCCAGGTGTAAAAAGTGCCGAGCAGGAATTGACTGAGGATTCCCAATACGACTGCCATTGTACTGGTGGATGAGAGAATTCCTCTCAAGTGGGGTTGAGTTATTTCTGCTACATAGGTTAAAACCTAGAACAACGTTGGAATGGATGTTATATTCGGCTAAATCAATTCAGGGAAGTATGAAATCGGGCCTAGGTTGAATATGAACCAGACTTTGTTGTATTGGTACTTTTTTTGGTTCCATAAATTTTAAACTTATTCATAGACATGAAGGTACATACCGGAGCTTCTAGAAGGCCACCGCTCAAACCAGTAATGCAAGATGCCAGGAAAATCTGCCACACTTCTTTGGAAAAGTAAAATAACAGCCAGGCAGCCAAAAAGGGAAAATTGACAATTTGCATTGACCTCCTTCGTCCAATGGAGTGTGTGATGAACCCTGAAGCAGTACATCCGAGAGGGACACATATCAAGTTGATCGAACCTGAAATAATACAGTGCATCTCGGTTAAAGCATGTCCCCCTGAATAATTTTTAAAGATATGATTTTCAGGTAAAATAAAATTCACCTACATGAAAACTGTTTACCTATAAGAGTTGGTAGAAATCTATAATTATTATATTACAGATTATAGGGATATTCTTTTGTTAACGAATTATTGTCAGTCTTGCTTGCCGAATAAGCCCACACATGACTAACCAACGTCCTTTTTTTTAGGGCCGATTTCATGAGATATTAATATATCAAGAAAGAAAACTCGAAGTTGTCTCCACAAGTTTAATGTTGAAAAAGATGCAGTCAATCCAGCTTCAATAAGGTTTGAGACATGTTTATTGAAATGGCCATCTTCAGGCAAATTGATTGATGGCCATTTGAATGGCCGAAACATATCTCAAACCTTGTTGAAGCAGGATTGACTGCATCTTTTTCAATATTAAACTTGTGGAGACGACTTCGAGTTTTCTTTCTTGATCATTCCACTCAACTTTGATTATGGACTACTACAGAAGATAGATAATAATAGCTCGTTTTGTAGAGAAGCACCATTTGAGTACATTTTTCAATACTGATGATTTCATAATCACATGACAATGGTGTTGTATCAAAAGACCATTTAATGAAAATTAACGATATTGGTATATCTCAGTCGATCAGTTACTGGGGCAATAGGAGCTATGAAGTCATGTTGTAGTGTTATTTGATAGGGTTGTCAGTCAATATGTATGTTATCGGTGCTTCTTCGCGATAGAAAATAAAGCGTAGCCCCATCTGACGGCAACAACTTGAACACTTCTTAGCGGTTTGTTTTGATGATATGACCAATATGCTTTGACAGCTTTCAAGAATTCCGATAGGTGGCGTACGCTTATTTTCTATTGCGAGTAGTGGAAGCCTCACGACATCTTGGTCCCTGGGAAATGATAATGATGCTTCACTACCATGGTGTATGAATAACTATTTCTAATTTATCTAGAGATGAATTCTCTAGAATTCTATGTATAGTATGAACTTACTGATCCATGATATGGCTTCTGGATCCATAATTATGTCTTCATTTTTGTCACCTCCTGATACTCCTGGGATGAGTATAGTGGGGAATCCAAGACTCATGCCGAATCCCAGCAGCAGCATGTTTTTCACGCATACTGCTAAAATTTGTGGGAGTGCTTCAGTACATTGGGATTTTTCTTTTTTTGTTCTTGCAGCCTCATTCCTGCAATGCATATTGAAAATTATAATTTCCTTTCATACGACGTACCGTTTTCTTGTCAACAAATAAAAACCAAAAAATGTTTTATCTTCAGTTCATTTGAGATTGTTTTTGGTATTTTGTTGAAATTCAGTAGGCACCCACTATGAGTGAAAAGACATTTAGTTTTGGGACGAGAATCAATTTTTTATTTTTACCATTGATGTTCACGTAGGCGATATTGAATGTTTTGATTAAAAAAAAACTGTACGCCTCTGATTTTGATAACCTGTAACTCATAAAGTAAGAGGTTTAGGACATATATGTTGATATGAACTCTTTCCTAATTCACAATTAATTAACACCCTGTATATGATTTAGTGCGGAAATAACTTGTCTGCCGCTGTTCAGCATTAAGTGATTCTTTTTACCATTAGCTCTAGAATCTAACATTATTTCTCACGGGGCTACGAGAAGTTGAGAATAATATGAATATATTTAGAACTTTCTATTCAACAAGTTTTCAAATCGATAGAAGTAATTCAATAATAAACTCAATTGGAACGTTGTGTTGACATAACCTACATATCAAATACTTAATTATTTTGTTTTCTGAGAACCGGCTTCCTCGATATTATATTTTAGTAAAAATGAAAATCTGTGCCAAGAACAATGAGTAAAAAAGTAAAATACTGTATGTAGGTTGATATAATAATAATAATGATAATAATAATGTTTATTCGTATTAGCATACAGCAGCCATCCGAAAATAAATATACACGTCGGTTATAAAAAAAATTATTTTAACAAAATAATGCAGCATAGGCAGAGACATTTAAAATTATGATTTACACGTAAGATAATGGGAATTAAAATTTTAATTTAAGATTTACACCTAGGATAAAACGAAAAACATTTACACATATGGTGAATAGAATAAAATCTACATATGAGGTAAATAGAAATGACAATTTGAGAAAAAGAACACCAAATGACAATTTGGGGTGTACACACCAATTTAATACACTATGCCGTTATAGCAAGCTAGATTCCCAGACAGCACTGGATATTCATAGAATATTCTCTAAATATGCTAAAAAGGAGGAGTATATTCCGAATATTCATCGATTATTCCTAGAATATATACATGCCTCTGGAACATCTAAAAGGAATATTCCAAAGTGAATAGTCGGACATGTTCAGGGAATATTCAGGTATGAATCTTCCAGGAATATTCTCAACTGAATATTCTCTGTTGTATATTCATGAAATATACCCAACTGAATATTCTGTGCGGTATATTCATGAAATATACCCAACTGAATATTCTGTGCGGTATATTCATGAAATATTCTCAACTGAATATTCTGTGGTGTATATTAATGAAATATTCCATGAATATTCCTATGTTTCTCAACACATAAATTACATTTCATTATTTCAGAGATGTGAGTATCGAACATCAATTAGATGTAAGGGGATTTTGAAACAAAAAGTGTTCATGATCCGATTTCGAACAATGCTCCCACAAGAACTTGATATGTAAAACATTATTCAATTCGATTACTGGCCTGGTGGTCAAGGCGTTGCTCTGATAGTCTTGAGGTCACGAGTTCGATCCCTATACTTGGGTCACTTTTTTTAATTTTAGAATATGTTTATTGGAATATTCCAGGAACATTCAACATAGAATATTCTTTTGGGTATATTCTATGATTATCTGAGGAATTCCCATTCGCATATTTAGAGAATATTCCACAGATATTCCGGAATATTCCAGATTATTTCTAGAATATTCCAATATTCCAGAAGGAATATGATAGGGAGATTCATGGAATATCCGGTGCTGTCTGGGTTCATAGTACTCATTTATGTTATCATAAGCGCCCTGAGTCAATATGCGCTTTATGGACGATTTGAACTTGGTAACATTCATTTCTCTGATTTCTTGAGGTAAATGATTGTACAGTTTTATTCCCAAATAGTCCGGGGATTTTTCAGTACGAGATAGATTGTGTCTAGTGATATCAAAATCATGAGCATTCCTGGTAGAATATCTATGATGATCAGAATGTTTTAAAAACCTTTGTGAGTTGTTTTTTACATAAAGGAGGGTTTTAAATATGAAAATAGATGGTAGGGTTAGGATATTATTATTTTTAAAGGCATGCCTGCATGTGTACCCTGTGGAATATTGAAGATAAGTCTCATTATTCTTTTCTGTTTGATGAATACTTTCTTCCAGTTAACAGCGTTACCCCATAGACAGACATTGTATGAAAGATGACTATAAGCTAAAGAATAGTATACACTAATGAGAGTAATCAAATTCGATGTTTTTTTCAATTGCACAATGGCATAGAATGCTGAGCTGAGTTTTTTACTGATAAAATTTATGTGTTTGTCCCAGCTCACGAACTCATCTAAATGAACACCCAGAAATTTAATTTCTGATACATATAGGAGGTGGTACATTCATTCTGTTTGATTATTTTTGATTTTCTCCGCTTATTTCTATAAAATAAAAATATTATTATTTCAATTTATACAGTGTGTCTCACTTCTAATGGAAACACCCCTGTATCTTACGTTATCATTGTGTGAGAATCCTGAAATTTGCTGGAGCGCGAGATATACCAAAAATGCACTCTATGACCAAGTGGGGTCATCTTCAGTGATTTACACTGCTCGCCAACAGCCATGGAACCACCCCAATTTCCGGAAAATGATATTAGGAGTCAAAATAGGTTGAAAATCACTTCGGATTCGGAATCAGGACGCAAGATTCACTACCTATTCATATTTTTTCTCGAAATTTTCCAGTTCTGAAATATTCATTTTGTCTTACTCTTCATGGAAACACCCCCCGTATCTCACGTACTCGTTGGGTTAGTATCCTGAAATTCGCTGGAGCGAGAGATATTGCCAGCAGCCAAAGAACCACCGACATTTCAGGAAGACAAAATTATTATATCGAAGAATTGATTATTTCAGAACTAAAAATTGTTCGGAAGGAATTTGAGTATTTGGTTAATTAGACGTTCTGTTTTCTGTTCTCGAATCCAATCTATCTTGTCTGGTAATATGATTTTCCGGACAGGTGGTTCCATGGCTGCGTGTATATCGCTGATGGTGATTTCCATTGGTCATTGACTGTATATTTGGAATATTTCTTGCTCCTGGAAATTTAACAATTCTAATTCGATAATTACGTAAGAAACGGGGGTGTTTCCATGAAAATTGAGACAAAAATGAAATTTTCAAAACTGATTTGTTTCAGCAAAAGTATGAATAGTTGGTGAATTGAGCGTCCTGATTCCGAATCCGATGTGATTTGGAACTTATTTTGCTTCCTAATATCATTTTCCATAAATTGGTGTAGTTCCATGGCTGTTGGCGAGCAGTGTATATCACTGAAGATGACATACTTGGTATATCTCTCGCTTCAGCAAATTTCAGGATCCTAACCCAACGATTACATAAGATACGGGGGTGTCTCCATGAAAAGCGAGACAAAAATTAAATTTTCAGAACTAAAAATTTTCCAAGGAAAATATGAATAGTTGGTGAATGGGGAAGACCACTGAGAGAAGAAATCCGTGCAAACCTCTTTCAATCGACGAATCATGATTTACGTTTGATGTACAATCAATATTATGAGTTAAAGTTGAATACATACGATCGGCATATTTCATTCGATATTTCAAACAGCCAAATATGATGATGGAGTCGTGACGTATTAGTCCCGAGCTGTAGCTATCTCTCTCTGATACATCGTCATTCTGCAGTGTTGCAGCGTGATTGGTCAGTTCAAGGACAATTGGCGTGTTGGGAATAAGACGTTGCACCAGTCACACCAATGAATTGACAAAATTTCAAATGGCGCAGGAATTCTGTGTTTTGAAATGGAAATATTCTAATTTATTTTTTCCATCTTCTTAGCATGAATGAAAAAATTCAAAATTAATTCGCTGGTAGTTTTTCAGTATAGAGTTCACGATAATGTCATTTTAAAAAATCAGTGGTCTCCCCCATTGGGCATCCTGATTCCGAATCCGAAGTAATTTGCAACCTATTTTGCTTCCTTATATCATTTTCCGAAAATTGGTGTATTTCCATGGCTGTTGGCGAGCAGTGTATATATCACTGAAGATGACCCTACTTGGTCATAGAGTGCATTTTTGGTATATCTCTTGCTCCAGCAAATTTCAGGAACCCTACCCAACGAATACGTAAGATACAGGGGTGTTTCCATTATAAGTGAGACACACTGTATATATATGTAAAGTAGGACATATCAGATGATTTGTCCTGAAATGTCACTGCTTCTGAAACATTTTTCAGGGAGCTTAAAAGAAAAATCCAATCGTTGGTCAGTTACTCTTTGTTTTGAAAAACGTTTGAAGAAGAGAAATATAGATATATTGAAAGTAAAAATTCTATATCTTTTCAATGAATCTATATTTCTATCCCGCCTTGAATAGGACTCGAGATGGATATCCATAAGATATCCTGTGTTTACTGGCCTTCAGCGTGTATATAATGGCCCTCGGCTAGCGCCATCGGGCCATCATTCACGCCACAGGCCATAAACGCATACTTTACGCCCTTGATACATGAATAACTATTATGACGATTATAATAATGATGATGCAACATGCTTTTTTCCTTTCATGGTCTATACCTAAAGGTTTTCATAAAGAATATAAGTTGGTATAATTTTTTCCGCTGATTCATATTTACTCCATATGCGAATGCAACCATGTGGAAGATGATAACAATATTATATAAAAAAAAACAAATCTGTTACCTATGATCAAAGAATGATTTAAGTCGATAATTTGTGTTTATCTGAAGTAACCGCAATTACCAGACACATAAATTAACCACTCCAGACATGATAATATTTTCTCTTTTGTCGACTATTGTATACTCTTTCATAATAGCTTATAATAGTTATTTTTGCAACAGAAATGTTAATTTGTGTATAATACATAGGTAATCAAATATATTATCACTATGTTAGGTATGTAACACGTACACCAGAGATCCTACACCAACTTTTTTTTTGCGAACATTATAGGAATTTCATTTCATGCGTTCCAAAGGATAAAAATAGAAAAAAGATGCGAGAGAAATGAATCGTTCACAAACTCTTCTGATGATGGGTTTCAAGATGGAGTGGTAATTTCTTTATTCAACGACGGTTTGCCTTTCAGTAAGCATCACCAATTTCAATTCATCAAATATGGTCCTTATTCTTCAATATCAAACTTTGTACCTACTCTATCTTCTTCTGAATTCTGTAGTGAGCCCAAACAACATTATTGTCTGATTGAGTTTAGAACTTTTTTGACTTTCACCAAAATATGAATGGATACTGACCTGCATTTTCATAAGGTGGACATGTTTTGTGATTCTGGATGGTTTCATTCGCCATCACGTATAATCAAGGAATACAAATAAATGATACAATGAGTAGTTAAATGATTTACTATTCCTTTTCCTCATAAACAATACTGGAGTACAATAACATATAAAAACATTGATGCTCAATATACCTCTTTATTGGAATTCCAAGAGCTGAAATGACTTACAAAATGCAAGAACACAGATCCGTATTGAATAATTTTTTGTCGCCGTTTGCTGTAACTTCAATGTCAATGTCAGGAAAAGTAAACTATGCTGAAATAGAAGTCGAGTGGAGTTAGGTCTTCAAATTCAGCTGGTTTCACAATATTAATCGATCTACCTAACAACACATATTGACATCCCTTGTCTATAGGTACACACCCGTATATTGAAATCCTTTTTCCTAATAATAATAAGCTAAAAGTATTTGTATCAAAACATTATATCACACTAAAGTTGATTCAGATATATCTATACTGATCTTATTCTACATATATCGGGTGGTCACAAAAAAAACCGGAAGTTTTTATTTTCCTCGTGGTTTCATCATTTCTCAACCGAATTTGAATTTATTGGCTTCATTTCATAGCTGAAGGGCTATAGTATACAGTGGAATATTTGAAAACAAAAACAAAATGGCGAATTAATTAATTCTTATCACGGGATTAGCACATTCACTCCATAACACTTTGCCAAAAAGAACGTGTTTCTCCTGGACTAATTGTTCGATTCAGATGTTCGAGTGCTCATTCTTTCAAGAAATCAATGATCTAAAATTGTATCGGTCCTGATTGGAACAATAAACATTTTTTCATTTGCCAGAGATTTTTGAAAATCACAAAAATTCTGGATATTCCACCATTTTGTTTCTTCCAATTATTGGATTTTCAAATGTTCCACTGTGTACTACAGTTCTTCATCTTTGAAATAACTCTAAGAAATTCAAATTCGATTGAATTTTCATGAAGCCTGGAGCAAAAATCGTTTATTCGAGATTAGCACAACTCCATAACAAACTGCAAAGAAATGAGTGTGTCTACTGGACTATATGTTCGATTTTGATGTTCGAGTACTCATTCTCTTCAGAAATGAATAGCATAAGATGACATCGGTACAGGTTGAAAAAAATCTGTTTTTTTCTTCTTCAGCGGTTTTTGTAAATGACAATACTTTGGTAGAATCTGCCATTTTGTTTTTGTTCATTATGAAATTTTCAAATATTCCACTGTATACTATAGCACTTCAGCTATGAAACGAAGCCAAGAAATTCGAATTCGGTTGAGAAATGATGATACCACGAGGAAAATAAATCTTCCGTTTTTTTTGTGACCACCCGATACATTGATCATTGCTATGAAGTAGGAATAGCAATTTATCTAAACAATTATAATAACTTTGTTTTTACAACTTCAGTTCTAGAACACATAAATGGGTGTTATCTTCGACGTGAGCACTATTTTTTCCACTTGTAAATAATAATACCTAAATAGTACTTTGAAAAACTCAAGAAACACGCTTTTATAGATAGCCAAACTAAAAAGAAGTATAAAATGAAATAATGAAAGAATCATATTCTCCGACCACGAAAACCCCTAGATACAAATTTTTAATCGAATCAGATCATGATTACAAAACGCGTCCGCCATATTGTATCCGCCATCTTCAATTTACAAATTTTGACGGAATAATCATAATCTCCGACCTCAAAAACCCCCAGATACCAATTTTGAAAAGAATCGTATCATAATTACAAAACCCGTCCGCCATATTAAGTGCTCAAAGAAACAAACTGCCATATCTTTTTAGGAAATGAATGGATTTTCAATCGGAATGCAGTGCTTGGAAGATGCGATCTTTCTGTTCAAGATTCCTCGTTCAAAACTCGTCGGGAGTTTTTCTGTCATTATACACCAAGTGTTCGAAAAAAGTATTACAACATTGAAAAAATTCAAACGCTTCAGTATTCCAGGGATTTTTTTTAATTTATCTATTAAGCGTTTTTTTCCGAACGTTCAAGCCAATATCTCGAAACAGTTTTGTAATTTTCCATATTCCTCATACAGGATGTTGAAAATCGATGATTTTTAATTTTTAGGTTTTTATCACATCATTTCCGATTTTAAAATTATGCAAGCCACATTCAACGTATTTTGCCACTCTATACGATATAACACATCCTAGAAAATGGATTCATATTGCGTTGAAATCATCAACAACTTTAACAGAAGAAGAATACATTTTTTTTAGAAATGTTCAGAATTTGGTGAAATTGTCTGTTCAGTTTGGTGCTGCCATAACCTTATGCTATGCTAAACCCTTGATTATTCAAAATCCTTCATTTGAATCGATTGCTCTGCTTAGTATGTCGAATTAATTTCGTGATTTTTCAGATAAGGCAATCCAAGGGGGCGCAAGGAGGCCCTTCTGGATTTTTCTGACCAATTCATACAATAACGATGCTACAATGGTTTTGAGATATTCCTGAGCTGACGTGAAGTCAAGAAACCTATTTATTACAAGGTTTTTCATCGCGTAATCGAAAATCATATTGGCTTGAACGTTCGGAAAAAACGCTTGATAGAAAAATAAAAAAAAAAATCCCTGGAATACGGAAGCGCTTGAATTTTTTCATTTTCACAGAAAAACTCCCGACAAGTTTTGAACAAGGAATCTTGAACAGAAAGATCGCATCTTCCAAACACTGCATTCCGCTTGGAAATCCATTCATTTTTCAAAAAGTTATGACAGTTTGAAAATTGTCGAAAATTTCAGTGGTCCACTTGTTTCTTTGAGCACTTTAGTTTGGAATCGGCGTTTCGTTTTTTTTTTTCGTCTAACAAAAATTTCATGATGCATTGTCACCAGAATTATGTACACCTGCCAAATTTCAAATCAATCGGTCTGTTCAAAGTGGGTCAAAATCGAGTCCAAAGGTTACATAAATACATACACACATACAGGTGACGCTAATAAAAGCATGTTAAAAATAGTATATTGTTTAACGAGCAAGGAATGATAGTTATTTCCCACGAGAATGAAGCATGAGCCGTAGTCATTTTTTGTTTCCTCGTCTTGTAGCCATCTGATTTTCTCTCAAGTAACGCTCATCTATTAGACAGAGCTGTCATTGCTTGAAATTTGACATTCCATGAGCGATGAGATTTTTTTTAAATAACACAATGGAGCATTGTGATATCAATGATGACATACAAAGTACCTCATTGATGTATCGAACACAGTAAAACAAGAGCAATATTGTTATCTTGATTCACAAACAAATTAATTAAAACAAATCAGTCTTGATTGATGTGTATATAGGAAAAGACAGGTCAAAATGTGTGAAAAAATAGATGCTTTTCCGTGGAAATTTTATTGAGTGATTAAATCAATTTGAAATGGGTGATATATCTGAAGTTGTACGTGAATTCACCGCGAGAATCTGACAAATATAATTGAAAAATTGTTGAACTCACTTATCCATTATATCAAACCGGACATGCACTTATTGTCTTGTCTTGTTGGTCCAACTGGGGCAACTCACACTCCTCAGTCCTCATTCACAAATGACTTAAGCTTATCGGGTATTGTTCTTAAACTAGGAGATAAGTTTATAATGTCATTAACACATTTGTATTATTGTTTATTTGTCTGAGAACCAATGCGCGAGAGTTGAAATCCAACGATTAGCAATATTTTTATAACTTCCGAACATACATATTGTCTCAATTTGACATATATCTAAACACACTCAAGTAAGTACGCACTGACAATTCAACCAATAGGCACTTGTGATAAGCTTTTGCGAAGTCTAACATCGAGTAAGGAAGATACACTTATTGGACTTTCTAATCTCATCTGCAACAGAAACGCATTGTATGACTCCCACCTACCTTACAGATCCGCACACACCTAATCTGTGCCTAGACCAAATGGTTCCAAATTTTCTTCAGCTGATTTCCGTTCATGGGATTTCCATCATTAACAATCACTGTTCAATAGGTATTCACTGTTGACTGGTCATGCCATATAATTCTCTGTTCGTTTTGAATTTTATACATATTGTCTAGAATGTCTACAAGTGTGATAATAGGTATGGATTCCACAATGAGACGATTGACCTAACCCAGCGAGCACAAAAACATCTCAGAGATGTTAAAAGTACGAGATTTCGAGACATTGAACCTCCACTGCGATGTTCTGTTCACACATGAATAGAACTATTATAGAAGAGCCAATGTCCCTTTTGAATGAAAAAATGCATTGAAAATAGATATTGAACATAAAAATATTTTCTTGATATGAAATTACTTTTTTAATCGGTTTCTGAGTATTGCTTACTACACACAGACATATAATTGGAAATAGGTTTCCCAATTTTTTAAATGTTCTCCACAATGCATAATTTTGCAACTGCGGAGAAGCTGTGTATTGATAAATTCGTACTTTTATATATTGATTACACTGAGGCACCGAACAACACATCTTGCATCTGATGGTCATTATTACAAACTAAATAAGTCTTCTAACACAATAAACTTCACCAAATTCCTTTCTGTTCGTTAGCAGCGTGATGTAAGCGTGACACGCTGCAAACGCGAATGCCAATTGCGAACAAGAAGAACAAAATCGAAAAAAAAAAAACAGATTTCATCGTATTGTGACGTAAGCATGAGACGTTGTGGTGGGGCAAACAAAGAAAGGGCACGAAAGAACAAAAACAATACTTTCAATATCCTTCTAAGACCTCTTTTGGAAGTGCATATTACGCCTCAAAAAAACATCCTCATGCCTACATTTCTAAAACATCCCAAAACATCCCAGGGATACCTCTCATAGTAGGCAAACAGAGAAATGCCACAGAAGAACAAAAACAATACTTCAATATCCTTCAAAGACCTCTTTGGTCAGTGCATATTACGTCTCAAAATAACATCTTCATGCCATCATTTTCAAAACATCCCAAAACATCCCAGGGATGTTTGTGCTCGCTGGGAAACTAATAATATCAGAGGTGTATGAAAGGGGTGTAGTTTATACCAACCCTTTCAAAATATTTTGTTGTTGCATGAGGCAACTTCCAATTTTTGAAATGGACACCCTATATTCTTCAGTTTTAAGGTTCCTTACTTGAAAATGGAAATATGTAAATATCACTCTTGTGTTACGAAATACTTATTTCCAAAGACTCGTCGTTAACGACTTGAAATTCCGTAGAATTGTTTGCAATAACTAAAGACGACTTCTTCTGATTCGGTGTAATCAGAATTTGCATAATCATTTCAGTAGCGCCCTGAAGTACAAATAGGTATGAAGCTGCAAATATTTTTCTGCCAAAACTAAATGGGAAGTTGAATAATCCTGATCCCTAGAAATTATATCACTGTTCAATAGGTATTCACTGTTCGTTTTGAATTTCATACATAGTGTTTAAAATGTCTACAAGTGTAATAATAGGTATGGATTCCACAATGAGACGATTGACCTAAACTAATAATATCAGAAGTGTATGAAACAGGTGTGGTTTATACCAACCCCTACAAAATTTCTCATTGTTGCATGAGGCAACTTTCGATTTTTGAAATGGACACCCTATATTCTTCAGTTTAGAGGTTCCTTACTTGAAAAAAGAAATATGGAAATATCACTCTTGTGTTACGAAAAACTTATTTCCAAAGACTCGTAGTTAACGACTTATACAGAGTGTCAAATATATCTTTTATAAATGTTCAATAAAACTAGGTTTTTTAAAATTTCGTAGAATTGTTTGCAATAACTAAAGACAACTTCATCTGATTCGGTGTAGTCAGAATTTGCTCAACCATTTCAGTAGCTCCCCGAACTACAAATACGTATAAAGCTGCAATTATTTTTCTGCCAAAACTAAATGGGAAGTTGAACAATCCTGATCCCTAGAAATTATAAAGTTTAGTTCGTTGTAAAGACGATGTGTCGACAGAGTTGATATTTTTACTGAACAAGTGAACACCTAGAGGATTACGAGTCTAGATCTCCTGATCACTATACAGGGTGTTCCTAAATGGTCTTTACAAAATTTTACCACATATTCTTCAGACCAGAACAATTTAAAACAAGCAAACTTACCGCAGTACAAATAAGAGTGTCAAAAATCTTTTATAAATTTTTATTAAAACCAGCTTTTCTAAAAATTTCGTAGAATTGTTTGCAATAACTAAAGACGACTTCTTCTGATTAGGTATAAAGCTGCAAATATTTTTATGCCAAAACGAAATGGGAAGTTGCATAATCCTGATCCCTAGAAATTATAAAGTTTACTTCGTTGTAAAGAGGATGTGTCGACAAAGTTGATATTTTTACTGAACACCTAGAAAAATACGAGTCTTGATCTCCTCTGATGCCACACTCACTATACAGGGTGCCCCTGAAAGATCTTTACAAAAACTTACCACATATTCTTCAGACCAAAACAATTTGACACGAGCAAACTTACCTCAGTAAAAAGTTGCTTAGTATGGCCACTAGACGGCTCTGAAATTACAATATTCTAATCGTTTTTGCTCGTATAAATCTTTGTATACGTGAAAGTTATGAACATTTGAACAATTTGAACAAAAACGAGGCAAGTTGGGCTTGTATCGAATTGTTTCAGTCTGAGGAATGTAAAGACCTTTTATGGAAACCCTGTATAATTCCTCCATTCATTCCATATAATTGGAAATTCGTAGTCGAGGACCTTTCACTTTCCTATAGATACATTTACAGGAAATGTTTTTCAGAAATCTCAGCTATCGTTCCATATGTTCCATCACTAGAAAATGATACCAGTCGGACTAACTCGACAAGCCCAGTCAGCATGTCAGCAACATAATAGGGATTCCATTTCGTGCTCTCCACAACAGTGGCATAATGTAATCAAAAACTTCTGATGACAAATTGCTATGTTTTTCAAATTGATATTTAACGAGAGTGGTATATTAATTGTATAGGGTCCAAGAAGTAACATGTTTGAAATTCTCATTGTAATTTAAAATCTATAGTTCCTTTGCTTTTTCAACTTCATGTAAGTACAAATTTCAACTTCATTTACTCATTTGTTTGTATCCTAAATTACCTATAGGTCTAAAACATTTGACCACATAATTAAATTTTCAAAGGGTGATTCAAAATGAGATTTTTTCTCCATATAAACATGTATAGCCTAATAAGCACCCCCTACAAGGTACAGCCACTGTAAGGTTGGGTAAAACAGGAACATGCCAATTTTCAAAAGATTTCATCCGTTGTTTTAGTCACAATTTCAGATAAGTAATCTTTTTTTTACCTATATAACTTACATTGGCTTTAGCTTGGAGGAGGTGAATTTCAGGACACAAGTTTATATGAAGAAAAAGTCTTATTATTATCCCAACAATATGTCCTTAAAATGTAAATTGTGAATTATTTTCATAGAAAAAATAATACTTTTTCACACCACCTGTATACGATATAAGGAAATTAGAAGCGAAGCTTCCATCAGAGAACTGGTTTCGTTAGAAGGCGGCCCTGTGGCAATTTTGTTTTAATTTGAATAATATCCATTTGCTTTTGATATGATGAAGATCCAAATCTGAAATCATTGATCAATATTTAGACTCAAATTCTCGAAATTTATATACTATTCCTAGTATTTATTGAAATTAAATTATTCTCCCATTGTGAAGTAATATATTAGGTATAATTGGTTGCATACATCAAAGAAGTGACCATCCTATGAAATACGACTAACTTGAAAGTGATGTGCATGAGTTGTGGAATTTTATGTCTATGCTGATAATTTATCAATCAATCATGTTGACTTTCCTATATTCGGATTATTAAAACGAAAAATTTCTCAGAAAAGTCCTTGAACTAATCAATTTAAATTTTTTGAAGGCGCATTATTCGTTTCATCAAAAAACTGACAATCATATAGTCCTACTCAAATACGAACCATCAGTTTTTTGGTACCTAAGTAATCAACTGCTTGTTCAAGAATTTTTCAATATATACAGAAAGTGTGCATGTATATCATGCACATATCTAACCGAAGCAGGTTATTCTTTGGATCATTGTCGAATACAGGGATAACGAAGATCACACCGGAACAAATCTGAAATCGTTGATCAATATTTAGATCAAGTATTATACCTATATTTCTTTCGGCGACCTTTTCACTTTTCTCTGTTCCTCAGAAATATCTGCTATAATCCCATCGCTAGCAATACCAGTCAGACAAACTCGACAGGCCCAATCAGCACATCCCTTCATTATTACCCTTGAAAAATGTCGATCAGTACTCTACCAAAACTCGCTCGTCTATAGAACGGCGAGGCGTTCTCCTCTCCCTATCCTCCCTAGGTACGCACGATGTTCCACTAACATTATTGGATTTTCCTTTCGTGCGCTCCAAGAGATAAAAAAAACATATAATTAGAAATGACAAGCCATATAAGTGGACCACCGAATGAAAATCTGACTGATATTATTTCTTATACAGGTATACACTGATGGGTAATTGCTCAAAGCGGTAGATGATGCAGTGAG